TGTTGTACTCCAGCAAGTGATATATTTTTAATGAACAGAGAAGAGCGAAGAGAGATGCTGGCTTTGGTGTCTGTGGTTTGCATACATAGAAGCATGCAGCAATTCAAGGTCAATACTTTCGGGTACTTATTACCTGTTGTCACAATTTCTCTTCACCACAAATTCTTGACATCGAGAGATTCAAGGTTACATTTCCAGCTTGACTAATCTCTCCTCCTCTGGAACTCTCGAACCTTTCATATCACATCGATTAGTCCTAGAATTGATCATTCATCTATGTCACCGGGTTCATTTGATCTGCCTCACTTCCTGAAAGTCAATACGTCTTGAAATCATATATTTAGTTGAATGCATCCTCAAAATAATCTCTCTAGACTAGTGCCGAAGGTATCCGATGAGGTCACTTCGAGTTCAAGTTAGTAAGAGGTTTATTCCGAGGTGTGAAAGTAAACTCTCGAGCCTTGTTTATTGATTTAGAATGTTAAATCTTTTTTTTGCATCCAGGACTTGCTAAGTCGGGCAAATGTCTTCTATTACCATTAGTCAGAGAGACAAAATTGAATGGTTGGACTCACATCATATCATTTGTTTCTTCTATCACCAAAAGTCTGACACACGGGCAAGATTTATTATTAGAAACAAGAGGTTCATATTCTTCCTAACAACTTTTCTTACCTTTGAGTTCCTTCATGAACAGGGCAAGAGACTTGGATTTTAATGTGTCGACTTGAAGAGTTTGTTGATGAACTCTCCACGGGGAACACATCAGAGAAAAAAGATGAGAAAATGACATGACAAAATAAATAACTTGTCGCACTCTCTCCTTAACTTTCTCAAGCCATTGATGAGAAGATAGAGGGAAGTCTGAAACATGTGGTTCATTAATTTTTTTAATAGTATTATCGAAAAATTATCATTGATGTCTTTGTCATTATTGTGTAACTTCACGCCGTGATCGAGGAGTCAGCATGGCTTGGTTTGGGGCATGTACGCGAGGTCGTCAAACGTGGCTTCCTAATTAGAGCGACTCGATATTTGGTCGAGTTGGGAGTGGATTTTTTGACTTGACCTCTCCGAAGCTTGAGTAAGTAGGAAAAAGTGATGGTGAGATTAAGTGTTCGTGGTTCGACCCCAAGCATTGGCCTGGTGGTCGGCTTTTATACCTGCAATCGGAGGTCATCGTATGTGATCAGTTACTGGTTGCTGACATTTCAAGTGACCAGTCTGTATGCCATGCACAAGTGCTAACCGACCTGCTTGATCCTATGCCGTGGGACGTCACCTCTTATAGCCTCAGGCGACGTGGGCACAGCCAGCAAGCAGCGCAAATGTAGGCGATTGTCTTACATGGGTTTGAGGCATCACATCAATACGGCGTGCCTCGTCAGCTCTATCGAATCTCGAATTTTGATAATGAAATCAATTGAGTTTGTGATCTAATGTGCGTTTAAGTGACACAAGACTAGCTTCGATCAGAGAAAATAAATCGATTAAAGCAGTAGAATCAGAAGTTTGGTCAGAATGGAATATATCAGAAAATTGGATGTTAAACCAAAGGAAGGTCGACGTGTCGGCAAAAAGCTTCATGCCATGAATTCGGGGATCAGGCTAAAAGGATCAAACATTGCGCCAAGGAGATCGGGTGTTGTAGAAGTCAACATATCAATCAGACAAGTCGCAAGAGAGGAGGATGATGCAATAAAGGATTGGACAAAATACCGAATAAACCAATGACATACCGGATAACTTAGTATTCTTGTAATAATTTGTCTAGATCGAAATAGTTTAGAAGGCTAATTGAGTTATTTTCGGGTGTAACTATGCCAACTTAATTATGGGCCAATTGAGCTCAAGAGAGGCTATTTTGGGTTAAGGAAAAGGCTCATTCAGTGACCTAAAAGTTTGGTCAGGCGATTGCGCTGCTAGAGGCTCAGTCTCCAAGACACCGTTTCTGAGACTGTGTCAAGCGGTAGTATCGCCAGACTGGGCGATGGTACCGCCCAGTGTTAGGTGATCGTACCACCAGTTTGGGCGATGGTACCACCTAGACATAGTCTCCCAAATTGTGTCAGGCAATGGTACCACCAGACTAGGCGATGGTACCATATAGTGTCAGTACTGCATGCGATAGTACTGTCAAGACCCGAGACACCTAGGATGAGACCTTTTTTAGCTCCAATTTTGAAACCATTTGGGGTTTATAAATACCCCAGCTATTCCTGCATGG